ATGTGCATCACTTTCTAAGCTCTTCCAATGGAAGCCATCCTTAGCTTGGTTTTCTAAAGTCTCTCTCAATTTCAGGAGTCTCAGCTCTTTTCTCACTAACTGGCTCAGTTGGAAAGCTCAGGGGATGTGCTCCCCAAGTGAGACTCAGGTAACAGCCCCCCCAAGGTCCCAACCAAGTGTCCAGCATACAGACCATGGCTGGAGCATGTTCTCTAGATTTAAGTAGGGATAGCAGGCCACTGAGACCTCTTTGCTCCTCTAAAACACAAAGTTCCCTTCATGCACATGTATTAGCCCAAGGTCAGTAGTGCTTTGAAGAGAATTCCTGTATGGGGTGGTGGGCTGGACAAATTTACCTTTAACGCCTCTTCCAGTTAAGTTTTAACCGATGATTAGCTTCCTAGGGTTGGACTGCAAGGCTCTACTTAACTGGTATGTGTTGTGTTTTTGGTGTTAGTGGCTACTAAGTCAGCACCCAAATTATGGTGACCCCATGCACCCTAAGATCAGACCACTGTGATCCACAGGGTTCTCACTGGCTGATTTTTCAGAAGCAGGTCACCAGGTCTTTCTTCCTAGTCTATCCTAGTGTGGCAGCTCTGCTGAAACTTGTTCAACATCATAGCAACAAATACGCCTACAATGACAGAAGGCTGGTAGTAACACTTGAGGTACACTGGCCAGAAATCAAACCTGGGTCTCTGACATGGAAGGCAAGAGTTCTTCCACTGAACCACCACTGCCTCCAACTCATATGAAGTTGAATTTAGTAGAATTAAGTTCTAGACCTTGAGATTGGGGAGTCAGCAAAGCAACACACAAGAGAGGAAGAATAGGGATAGAGCTGGATAGAAAAAGGACTTGAACCTGAAGTAATGAAGGGAATCTGTTCCAAAATGACAGTGGTGGATCAGGTCAGATTTGAGTAGAAGAAATGCTCCTAACTTTCAAAGCTTCTCCTTTTCCTCTACTAAACCCCTAAATTCCTTAATGTGCCCCAAGGCTGCTCTGGTAGAAGTTAAGGAGAAGAAGGACATAGACTATTGCTTGTAGCAAACACCAATAGGGGCCTACCCAATAGCAATTCCCTCCTTTCAGATTTTGTTCAGGAATTATGACTGGTCATAACAAAGCCAGTGACTGCCACGAGACCCAGTTCTAACATCCAACACATACCAGATGTCTACTGAGAGTTTCTAGGAAATATTTTCCTCCCTGCAAAGGGACAGCCACATGAAGAAAATATCCTACCTTCTCGCATCCTACTTTGTATTCTGCCAAGTGACAATACAGCATTTGGAGATGTGGCGACTTTGTGTGGGCTGTGAGGGGGCCATCACCAACACACTGAGATGGCAGAGCATAAGGATCAAAAGAGCCAGGCCACTGACCCTGGGTCTGCCTCCTTCACCAGATCAGCAATATATGCCCTCAAGAGGTTTCCCTTACTTGTAGTGGGAATGCATGTGAGTACACAGCAATTTATAGTTATAGATTCATTGTAAATTTACTGTCAAGTACTACTTAATACTTTGCTTAGGAGATGGCATTTAAAACAAGAAAAATAATTCTGGGGGATCTACGCTATAGAAATCCCTGGGTGGTACAAAGGTCAACATATCAGGCTGCTAGCTGAAAAGGTCAACGCATCAGACTGCTAGCTGAAAAGGTCAACACATCTGGCTGCTAGCTGAAAAGTTACTAGTTCAAATCCACCCACAGTGCCTTGGAAGAAAGACCTGACAATCTGCTTCTAGAAAATCAGCCACTGGAAACTCTGGAGCACAGTTCTAAACTGACACACATCACGAGTTGAAGTTGAACCAACAGCAACTGGTTCGTTATTTCAGCTTGGATCCTCTCAGCTCAGCCCCCTTATTCAATTACCTCATTTTACAGGTGAGAAAGCTGAGGCAAAAGATTAGGACTTGCTCAAGGTCACAAAGGTGATCAGAAGTGGTAAGACTGGAAAATGGGGAGAGGGCAGCAGTGGAGTGCCTGTGCAGGGCTCAGAGGCTCAGCACAGTCTTCCCAGGACATTACATCGGAAACAGTCAGGGATTACCTTAGTTCTGTGATTCTCTGTATTAAGCCCCTCATACAGAGATTTGTTGAAAGAAATTTCACCAAGGATCTGCAGTTCGGATACATCTCTTAGTAACTGTAAGATGGAGGGGAAAAAATAAAACCTGTTTTAGACCTGGAATTATTGTTTTTGTATAGTACTCTCACCATCGGTCCTTCTTTGGTATTCCTTAGCTCAGTTAGTGTCATAGCATCCACAAAGTTACCCAAGCCAAATTATGGTTACTTCTCAGTTTCTTTTCCCTCATCCTTCACCTCCTCATCCTGCTCCCCTCCCCCAATCAGTTCTTGACAATTGGGGGGTGAGTTTCTCTTGCACCTGACCCTTTTTTTCTATTCTCATTGCTCTCGTTTCAGTTCACGTCTCATCAAGCTGCCTTGGATCACTATAAGATGTTAAACTACATCAGTAATTCCCATTTCAGAATGAGTGATTAGGGAAGGCATCTCTAAGATGACATTTGAGCTAAACATGGTTAGAAGAAACCACAAACCACCCACATGAAGATGTGAGGGAAGAGCAGCTCAAGGCAGAAGGAACAGCAAGTGCAAAGGTCCTGGGGCCATTATAGTCTTGGCAAGTTGGAGGAACAGAAAGGACAGACTGGCTGGAGTAAAGGAAGCAGGAAGGAAAAGAGTGCTAGGAGCTGAAGATGAAGAAGAAAACAGAGACCAGATCACGTAGTGCCTTGTAGGGCATGAAAAAGTATGGATTTTTGTCTGAATGTACTCAAATGCCACTTTTTTTTTTTTTTTTTTTTTAAGCAGAGGAGTGGCACAATCTAATTTTTGCTTTTAGGAAGGTCATAGCTATTATATGGAGAAAGATTTGTAGAGGGCATAGCAAAAGCAGAGGCAAGGAAAGCAAGCAGGTCATTGTAGCAGCCCCGGCAAGAGAAGGTAGCTGGAACTGTAACAGTAGCACTGGAAATGGAGAGTGGATAGATTTAGGATATATTTTGGAGGCAGACTGACAGGGTTTGCTGCTGGAATAAATATGAGACTGTAGGAAAAGTAGGTGGCACAGTTAATTCCTAGAATTTTGGCCTGAGTAACTGGGTGAAGCTTAAAGGTTAAGGAATAGGTTGGAGAAGATGAATCAAGAGACTGGTTTTTGACATGTTGTATCCCAGAGGCTCTTAGCCTTTGAGGAGCCATGCCCCGGGGGCAGCTGGATAATCAAATCTGGATCCTTTTACAGTCTTAAGTACCTGCTCAAAGTGACTCAAGTAGAGCTCTGCAGCCACGGTTACATTTTCTTTATCTGAAGTGATGGCACAACTCACTGAAAGCCATTCTTCCACGTACTAGGAGGGGGGTGGTGGTGGGGGGGAGAGAGTCTGATTAGCATTCTGTTTTTGTAACGCAAAGGGTGAGAAGTTTAACTTAGCACAGAAAGCACTTAAAGGTCCCAGAATACAGGGTGTGAACAGCTTCAGCCTTCAGCTTGTTGCTATGTGCCCTCGAGTCTGACGGACTCATAGCGACCCCTCCTTGGGTTTCAGAGGCGGTATCACTGCGGAAGTAGATTGCCCCATCTTCCTTCCGAGGAGTGTTCAGTTTGGTCCTGGCAAAAACGCCCAAACCAAAACCAAACCTACTGCCATCAAGTCAGTTCTCACTCACAGCGACCCCTTAGGGCACAGCGGAACTGCCCCACAGCGTTTCCGAGGCCGCACATCTTCATGGAAGCAAACCCTCAGAGCCGCTGAAGGGTTCGAACCGCCGACTTTATTTTAGTTAACAACCGAATGCTTTTACCACTGCACCACCAGAGCTCCTTCCCCCGCAAATGTGTCCTACGAACTGGGCTAAGATGGCTTTGGGGCTGCTCTGCATTGCTAAATGAAAATCTCGGGAAAAATGGTATCCACCAGGAGCCCTGGTGGCGCAGTGGTTAAGCGCTCGGCTGCTAGTCCAAAAGTGTGCGTTTCGAACCCACGAGCTGCATCGCAGGAGAAAACTGTGATAAAGATGACCACCTCAGAAACCCTACAGAGCATTCATACTGTGTTCTATAGGGTCACTGTGAGTCGGAATCCACTCGAGGGACATGGTTTACGGGGTACGCTTGTGTCACCCACTTCAGGGCCTCTCACCATCCCGCTGCCATGCCGAGACATCCATGCTCACCTGAACACGGTCGCTTCCACAAACGCGCTTACGACTTCTGGGGCACACAGTGCCATTCTGAAACGAGAACCAGTCCCCGCAACGAAAAATGAAAATCGCGTATTACCATTTCCCTGCCAGCGCTTTCCAGGCGCGACACGATATGCAGACGCACAGGCGGTCGCTAAGACCCGGCGGGCGAGCCGGGCGACCGCACGCGCTGAAACGTCACGAGGAAATCTCGCGGTGTTTGCATTTGAACCGCTTGGCGGGTGAGGGCTATGGCGGCTTCGCTCCCGCGACCCGGGAGCCGGCTCTTCAGAACGTATGGGGCTGCCGGTGGCTGGGGGCCGCGGCGGCGGCCGGGACGGGCAGTCGCTCAGTGGTTCCCGCCGCAAGACCGGAAGCGTTTCTGCAGCAGCAGCAGTAGCAGTGACGCCAGCAACAGCGGCCCCTCGCAGTGTGTCGTTTCGGACGACCCTGACGACCCCGACTTCCGCGGCAGCCCGGTACGTCAACCTCGGAGGCGGCCTGGTGGCCGAATCTCCAACGACCAGGCTAACCTGTTCGTGACCCCAAGACGCCTGAGGCTGAGAGCTCGGCCGCCACAAAAGTGCAGCACCCCGTGCGGCCCGCTCGGACCCCCGCCTTTCCCTGACAGCAACCCGGGCCGCCTCAGTCCGGATCTCAGCGTGTGCAGCCAGCCCAAGGGCTACGACGAGCTGGGCACCAGTGCCTCCCTCTTCAGCTCTCTGGCCTCTCCTAGTAGCCCCGGACCCGGGACCCCAGCGCCAACAGACAGTGCCATCTGTGTCGGCCCCTCCGCCACTCTGGATACAGCCTCTGAAGTTCCAAGAGACTTACACTGCCCGGCAGCCTCCCTGGACCCGGCATCTCTCCCCTGCTCCTGGAACGCAGCAGCGGAAGGACGTAGGTTCACTCGGGCTGCCCACCAAGCCCGTGCCACCCTCAGGTCAGCTCTCTTTAGTGTTACGGACTCAGGAAACCCTAAGAATTCGGAGTTTGGGGCAGATGGGAAGAATACAAGGGAGGCCTGCTGTAAAAAAGAACGGATAAGAAGCAGACTGAAGGGGCCCGGTTTGTCAAGCACCGGTAAAAAGACAGCCACAGACCCGCACTCTTGTAAAGAGAATGGGTCTCAAGAGGCTGTCCAGGTAGAATTTGAGGAGGCCAGAGGTTGCAAGGGCTGTATTATAGCTGGGGAGATCAAAAGACCTGAAAGAACAGGGCCAAGCCGGAAGAGGAAACATCAGGAGGTAGTGGAAACCTCCCTTCACCATTACCACCCATTTAAAAAGAGCCAAAAGATGAAAACAAACTCATTCCTCACCCAGAACCTGACTCATTTACAGGATGCCTGCTCTTGGACCAAAACCAGGGCCTCCCTCTCTTTACACAAGAAGAAGATTGTGACTGCTGTGTCAGAGGTGTGCAGCAGCTCCACCATTGCTAGTTCTCTCTCAGAATCCCTCATATCAGAATATTCAAATCCTCCAATCATGAACAAAACAAACAGTGCTCCATCCCCTTGGCACTTCTCATCCATGTATATGCTAAGCCCCTTAAAGACTCTTCATATAGTAGACAAAAAGGCATCTGATGCTGAAAAGGTTTATGGGGAATGCAATCAGGAAGGTCCTATGCCCTTCAGCTACTGTCTTTCCTCAGAAAAACTGGAACACTGTCAGAAGATTGGGGAAGGAGTGTTTGGTGAAGTGTTTCAAACAACTGCTAATCATATACCTGTAGCCCTAAAAATCATTGCTATTGAAGGACAAGATTTAGTCAATGGAGCCCAACAGAAAACCTTTGAGGAAATCCTGCCAGAGATCATCATCTCCAAAGAGTTGAGTCTCTTGTCTGATGAGGCATTCAACCACACAGAAGGCTTTATTGGGTTGAACTCTGTGCACTGTGTCCAAGGATCTTACCCTCCCTTGCTCCTCAGAGCCTGGGATCTCTATAACTCAACCAAAGGGTCTGCAAATGACCGGCCTGACTTTTTTAATGAACACCAGCTCTTCATTGTGCTGGAATTTGAGTTTGGAGGGACTGACTTAGAGCGAATGAGAACAAAGTTGGCCTCCATGGCTACTGCAAAGAGCATTCTACACCAGATCACTGCATCCCTCGCTGTGGCAGAGGCATCACTGCACTTTGAGCACCGAGACTTACATTGGGGGAACGTGCTCTTAAAGAAAACCAACCTCAAAGAGCTCCACTACACCCTCAATGGGAAGACAGGCACTATCCCCACCCGTGGGCTGCATGTCAACATCATTGACTATACCCTGTCACGCTTGGAGCGGGATGGAATAGTGGTTTTCTGTGATATTTCTATGGATGAGGACCTATTTACAGGTGAAGGTGACTACCAGTTTGAGATCTACAGGCTAATGAGGAAGGAGAACAACAACTGTTGGGGTGAATACCACCCTTATAATAATGTGCTCTGGCTACATTACCTCACAGATAAGATTCTGAAACAAGTGACCTTCAAGCATAAAAATAATACCTCTGCCATGAAGCAAGTGAAGCGAGAGATCCAGCATTTTCATGAGACAATGCTGAACTTCAGCTCTGCCACTGAGCTGCTCTGTCAACACAGTCTATTTAAGTAAGTCTTATGTGCCTTATTGCTTCACACTGAGAAGGCACTGGTCTTGGAGCCCCTGGTGGTGCTGTTTTGATCTCCATCCCCATAGAAAGGTGGAATTACCATTATTCCATGTTTTCAAACAAGAATTTTGTTTCCAAGTGGTGGTACTGAATCAAACTACATGTGAGAAGTATTTACAACTTACAAGCTTTCTGTCAGTAGAGTCCACTCTGTAAATGCCTTTCCTTATTTTCATTTTTGAGCGTTCACACTTTGTTGTCTGAGCCAAAAAAGAAATTCGGAAAGCCAAAGGTCTTCACTGTCATATTCAAAACAGCCTATTGCTTTGGCTTTGGGAACTAGACTACACGTGAAGAGTCACATCCAAAAGCAGAGAGCTGGTAGCAAAGCAGAGAGACAGACTGGAGGGAGAGGAAAGGAAGATGGTAGACAGTTTATAGGAGACTTGAGATAAATCCTACATGTTTATTAAGTGCTTACCAATCACATAGAGAAGCAGAATTTTACCAATTTCCAAAGGGCAAATAAATGTCTCTGTGGCTACAAAAAGAGTTTGAATTTTTTTCCTTATTTTTTTCAAGGGAAGAAAAATTGAAATGTTTTTTTAAAATCTGAATGGCTGATATTCCTTCTAAATATAACTTTGGTAATTTACTCCTATTTTCCCATGTTAATCTAGTTTTTATACTTTTAGGAATCCACAGTAACTCTAGAAAGTGATATGATAAAAAACCACTTTTAAGTACCTGAGTCCTTGTCGGCTCCTTCACTCTTATAACCTGAAGACCATGAATTTTTATTGGAACACAAATTTGCAACTGGAATTCAGCTCCAAAGAAATTTTCTCCATGTATCTGCAAAATAAAATCAGAGCAGGAAGTCAAAGCTGGGGTTGCCACTTGTAGCTTTGCAGTGATAAGCACTAGGTACTTACATTGAAGAGGAATTCTTTGTGGTCAGAACGCCTCTGGCTTGTGTTGACATATATCACCGATGGTCTGCAATTGAGAGTACATGTATAATGCCACCAATTGAGTACACTAGGACAGCTGGGATGTGGTGGAATATGTGAATTCTGTACAGTCAGGCTGGCTTTGTCTCTATCACTCTACAGAGTGGCCTTACTTCCTCTTTATTTCTCAACCCCACAGCCCTGCTCTTCTCTCCTTAGTATCATAATGGTACCCTTTTGCAGCAAGACCAGTTAGCACTGTACCTCCTTTGATACCATTATGCGGTTTCTTATGTATATAAAGTCGGTTCTGACTCAGGGAGCCTATAGGACAGAGTAAAATTGACCCCATTGAGTTTCAAAGGCTGTAAATCTTTATGGGAGCCAATCATCAAGTCTGAACCATGACCTTTTGGTTAACAGCCCAGCCCTTAACCATTGCACCACCAGGGCTCATTAAGGAGTTTCTAGGGCCCAACTATTAGTGTCTAGACATCAGTGTTGGAACCTGGTTCTAAGCAGCCTCCTCTCAAAGAACAAGGCCCACATCTGTCCTGACCACTAGTTCCAAGCACAAAAAAGACTGCCTAAAGCTGTCCCCCAGTATGGGTAGTCACTGGTGTTGGGCCTAGGGAAGTACTTACTTGGGAAGAACTGCAATGAAGGCGTGCTTGAATTCAAGGGTGTGGTTCTTTCTGTCTGGAGACCTTACATTGGAACTAGGAAATAAAGAGTGTCAGTTCCCACTATCCCTGGTTTGTATATATTAACAGCTGCTTCTGTATCTTGGCTTCCCAGAGCCATCAGGGGTCAGACAAGAAAGGTTATCAGAAATAAGCAACTGGAGTCCAGAAGAATTTCCAGGAGAGCAGATTGTTGAAGTACAGATTCTTAGGCTTCTCCCTTGACTGGTTCTGTTAGTCTGGGGTGGGCTGAGAAATCTGCGTTTTAACAAGTTCCTCTATTATTCTAATGCAGGTGGGCTAAAGACCACATTGGAAGAAATACTGATTAAACCAGGGTTTCTCAACTTTGCCACTACTGTCATCTGGGGACAGATACACAACAACAATCCTCTGTTGTTGAAGGTTGTCCTGTAGGATATTTAGTAACAACCCTGGCCTCTACCTACTAGATGTGAGCAACAACCCCTACAATGTGAACATTACCTCTGTGAGGGCAGAATCTCCCTGTGAGAACTACTTTATAACACCATACCCCACATCACCCCAGCCGTGCAGGCTTTGGTAATGAGGAGCTACTTAAATGAGCCAGGATTGGAACTATTAACTCCCACCTGAAGGCTTATTCCATCAGGCTATCCCACAGTGTCACCTGTGTGTGAAGAGAACATTTACATGTCTTGCTAACTATGGGGAAAGCTTCTAGAAGAGCCATTGCGAGGACACAGTGTCTTCTGTGGGCTCACAGACGCTCCATCCATAGGCCATAAGGTAGCCCTTGCTCTCACAGCATACATGTGGGAGGGAGACTTCTTCCAGGATCACAGCCTGAGCCTGGTATGACAAAGGTATGACTCACCTGGTGATCATCACAGTGATGTCCGCTGTCCTGCTGGGAAAGGCTTTCTCCTCTAGCTGCCAAACTACGAGAATGTCTACCTATTTTAAAGGGGAAAAAATAGATTTCTCTCTATACCACTCAAATTGTTTCCTAATAACTAAACAAGCCCAAGAAACAATTCATACCTCTCGACATTTTTGTAGCACACTTCAACATTCATTATTTCATTTGAGCTTCACAATGTCAATGTAGAATAAGCAGGACAGATAGCATCATTCCCATTTCACAATAGAAAAACCACTCCAGAGAGACCCATGACTGCCCAGCAGCACAAAAGTAATCAATAGATCAGGACTAACTTTTGCTCTGATGCTCCTTCTCTTTTACTCTCCACTTTGTTTACTAGGGTGAACCTGATAAATGAGGTATGTCTATGGCTGGGTAAGAAACTCTGGTGGTGCAGTGCCCAAGGCATTTGACTGCTAACCAGAAGGTTGGCAGTTCAAACCCACCAGCCACACCACAGAAGGAAGATGAGGCAATCTATTTCTGTAAAGATTTACCGCTTCAGAAACCCAAAGCGGGTAGGAATCAACTCGATGGCAGTGGGTTTGGTTTTGGTTTTTGGTATCTTATCTTGGAAAACTGCCTCCTGCCTCTTCTACTCCCTACTTTCAGATCAACCTTAGCAGTTCTAAATACTGCCATGGATTGACTGGGAAGTAAAGAGATGCAATGGGGACCATAATTGAGAGATTCAGACTGGGTTGCAGAAGACACCAACTCCAGGGCAGTGAGAACCAGCCAATGAAAACAGACTCACAGATGACCTCTTATATACAGGGTGACCAATCTTGCAGCTCATGTTCATGACCAGGATAGAAGCAGCTGGCTCAGGGTCATCACACTGAATACTTGGAGAGGGAGGCTGTGAACACAGAAGATAACGTTGTTCTTAAAAAGGGAAAAGAAAAAAAAAAGTTCCCTCACACCAATTCAACAAACATTCACTGATTTCTCCACACACCAGGTACCTCATCCAGACCACAAAATACAGAAATCAGACTTGGCCCCTGCCTTCCTCCCAAGCTGGATAAGAGGAGCAGACCAGTGAGGCTTCTAAATACAAGGCCTGAAGAGTCCGTTTGTGAGAGGTACAGAGAATACCAGCAAAGATACTGATTCCAGCTATTGTTAGTCATCAGCTCTTCTGACTATGGTGATGCTATGTGCAGAGCAGAACTACTTCACAGGGTTTCCAAGGCTGTGGCCTTTCAGAAATATATTGCTAGGCCTGTCTTCCAAGGTGCCTGTGGAGGAGTTTGAACTGCCCCATTGGGTCCCAAGGCTGTAAATCTTTATGTAAGCAGACTACCTAATCTTTCTCCTGCAGAGCATCTGCTGCGTTTGAACTGCCGACTCTTCGTTTAGCAGCTCAATGCTTTAACACCACCAACACCAGAGCCCCTACTTATGATTTCAGAAAACAAAATTTTCAGTTTTATGATACTTTTCAGCTTCAGAGGGCCTTTGGTAGAAATATTGTTTCCTATTATTTTTTCAGCTGGACAGAGAATGGCATCACTGGGTCCATGATGTATGGATGGATTGCAGGGGATTCATCTAGTTATAAACATTTATTAGGTGGACCAGGGTGAAGCCGGAAGCAAGAGGACCAGGCAGGAGGTTGCTGGAAAAAAAGCAGGTATGCAGTGAGGGACAGATATGAAGCTGCTCTCATAGTTACCTTTTGTATCCTTTTAAACTCTAAGTTTTTGGGGTATGTCAAAGTCAGGATTGTCATGTAGGAATCTTCCCCAGCGTTAGTTACACTCATGTTCATAGTCACCTCCTTTGTGAGACCCACCACCAATTTTTGCCTGCACAGGGTATACGAACAGATAAAAAGGTTACCAGTTTGCTTAATCCAGATATAATAGCCCATTGTTAATTGACTTCTTAGATAAGTTGCCTAGAAGATACATTGAGCCTAGATCAACTTTTCCTTAACATAAGCAAACACCCAGATACCATACTCCCTCAGTTGACGTGAGATGATGATAACAACAGCTATATTTATTATTTATTGATTGTTCACCATGTGCCAGGGACTGTGCTAAATGCCTCGCGTGCTTAATTATTAATTTTCATAACCCTATGGAATAGTACAGTTACTCTGACTCCATTTTATATAGAGAAGAAACTGGAGTCTACAGAAGCTAACTACTCTTCCCGAGGTCTAACAGCCTCAGAAGGAGTTGGGAGAATGAGGTTCAGAGACCCTGTTTCTAACCACCAATTTATCGGGACCCTAGGCAAGGGACTTCATTACACAAATTCTTCCCTTCTGCAGATATTTACTGAGTGCCAGATACCGTGTTCAGCATGGGGGATCAGTGGTGCACGAGAGAGACACTGTGCCTGCCCTCAGAGCCTCCCCTTTCTTGGCCTCAGCTTTCCCATCTGCAAGATCATTAAGGTTCTTCCAATTTAAAGACTGGATCTGTTTAGCCTGGAAAGAGAAGACTTAGGGATACATGAGAGCTTTCAGACTATTGAGGTACTGTGGCCCCAGAATGCAGAACCCGTATCAGTAGTTGAGATACAAGAAAACACATTCACAACAGAAAGAAAACTTTCTAACCATCTGAAATGCCCAGAGAAGGAATATGTGCTCTGGGGGTGAAAAAAAGTTTGTTTTTTTTTTTAATCATTCTGGCAGCTGAGAAGAGGATGGATTGATTGGAGAGAGAGACAGTTAGAGTAACTGATCTGACAAATGACATGAGCCTGAAATAAGACACTAGTAATGGGGGTGTGGGGAAGGGGTAGAAACCAGAGATGGTTAAAGTCAGGCTCATGAGCAAAGCAAAAAATGAAATGAGAGAGGAGTCAAGGATGAGTCCTGAGTTTCCAGCTTGGGGACTAAATGGTGCTATCGACTGAGGAAGTGAACATAGGCGGAAGGCCAGAGTGGTGGAAGAGAAGATGAGTTCAGCTTGGAACACGAGAATAACAAGGTGGCCACTGTTAGTTGCTGTTGGGTCTATTCCAACTCACGGTGACCCCATGTGTGCACAGTGGAACAGCTCCAGGGGTTTTCAAGGTGGTGCCAGGCCTGTCTTCTCAGGTGCTTCGGGGGGGATTCGAAGTGCCAGCCTTTTGTTTAATAGTCAAGTGCTATCCAGAGACTTCTGGATAACAAGGTAGAGATGTTTAGATGTTAGCTGAATAGAGCTCAGGAGAACTGAGAGTCATCAGATTGTTTAACAAGGATTCTTAACCTGTAGTCCAGGACAGTTTCAGAGGGCCCTGAATGCGAATATTTATGTGTCACATGTGATCTTAGAGGGGCCTGTTGCTTTCATTAAATTCTTTCAGGGATCCAGGTCCACAGAAAGGTAAAAAAACGATTCAGTTGGACGCTGATGATTTGACTCAACAATACTTTCAAATACAGAAGAGATGTGCTTGCTATGTACACTAGGTGGTGGCGTGAGGCAAGCTGCATGTGCTGCATTTATAGTCCACAGACATTTGGCTGTGAGCTCAGTTCTTGGTTGTAATTAATTCCTTGTTGGAAACAGCTGCATCTGTGTGTTAGGCTTGATTCCAAACCCCTCTAATGTTTTGAATTAGATCCTCAGTGATTGGAAAGGGCAGCCTTAAGCCAGCCACATCTGAAATGCAATTTCTGCACATGTCTATGAGAGAACTTACCAGGACTTGGGGATCAGCGTTCTTCATAGATGTCACTTTGCCCAACTGACGATCATCAGTACCATATGGCACACACACAAAACCAGTGGCCAGGAAAGGCATATCTAAAACCAAACTCATGGTCTCTCCCTCCCCACTCTGCGTCCCAAAACCATTCTTCCAAAGGCTTCCCCAGTTAATTTATTTGTAACTCCATCATTCTGGAATTCAGTGTGGTCCAATAGAACTTTCTGCAGTGATAGAAATGTTCTGTATCTGCACTGTCCAATCACACAAGCCATATGTGGGTACCAAGCACTTGAAAAGTGTCAATAGAGGAACAAAATGTTTCATTTTCTTTAATCTTAATTAATGTAAATAGCCAAGTGTGGCTGGTGACTACTGTACTCGCCAGCATAGCTCTAGATGCTCAGGCTGAAGACATCTTTGATCCCTCTCTTTTTCTCATGCCCCACATCCAGTCTGTCAGCAAATCCTGTGGGCTCTAACTTCAAAACCCACCCCCATTGCTACAACCCTGGTCTAAGCCTCCATCATCTCTCACTTATTACAATACATCCACCTTTATTCTTGCACTTTATTCTCAAACAATAGCAAGAATGATCCTGTTAAAATGGCCTTCCTCTTGGTTTCTCAGCTCACAGTAAAAGCACCACCTCCCCACGCTACCTCTCTGACCTATTTTCCAACTGTTCTCTGTCTCCCTCCCTCTACCGCAACTACACTGATGTCCCTGCTCTTCCTCCTGCCAGGCATGCTCCCACCTCGGGGTATATGCAGGTGCTTTCAGACATCCACATAGCTCATTCCCCCACCTCCTCCTGGGTTTGCCAAAATGTCATCTCTCAGTGAGCCCCTTCCTCACTGCCCTCTGTGAAACTGCAACTCTATCCTCACCCAGCACTCCCTCCCACCTTCCCTATCTTCTCATCAACATATTATATAGTTTACTCATTTATTATCTTCTCTTCCTAAAAGCATCTGAAGAGCAGAGATTTTTATCTCTGTTGTTCACTGATGTAGCCCCAGCACCTAAGACAGTGCCTGGCACAGAGTAGATGCTTGATAAATATTTGATGAATGAATGAACGAATTTGGCCAAGAGGTGAGCCAGGGAAGAAATTACCTCTAACTGAGGTGGTTATGGGAGTGAGGGACATTGAGTTATGAAAACAGCCTTGTCAAGAAAGCTGAGCTCAGGACTTCTGGTAAGATGTCGGAATAGGCAG